AGGAATCTGGGTTTTCTGTTTCACATGGAAAAACAAGAACCCCTCCTCCCCCCAAAAAAAAACAACCATGGATTTCCCTTTGAACAGAGAAAGTGGGTTTTTCATTTTAGCGGAGAAACACAGATTTATCACTTTTGTAAAGAGCTCTCTGCAGGCTGGCAGAGTTCCAAGAGCTTATTGCAAAAAGGGCAGCAAACCTTAAGCCATGTCCCAAGTGGGAGGGAGAGGGAGAAGGGGTAGGGCTTGAGATTCTCAGTCAGCCAGGGCTTGGTTCAGGCTCACTTTCCTTCCTTTGAGGTAATGGCCAACTGCCTGCTGCTGCTGGTGGTGGGGGCTGTACACCACACACACCTCACACCCTCTCACAAACCCCACATACTCCCATACCCACACTCTGACACCCACTCACAAACCTCACACCATTTCACAACCCCCCTAAATCCCACGCCTGCCCCTAACCCCCCCCCCCCATACACCTCACACCCATCCTCAACCAGCTAGGGACAGACATTTGAAAACCCTGAGCCTGAATTTCATAGACATTAGGGCTGGAAGGGACCTCGGAAGATCGAGTCCAGCCCCCTGCCCAAAGGGCAGGAAGTCAGCTGGGGTCATAGGATCCCAGCAAGATGAGCATCCAGTTTCATCTTGAAGGTGTTCAATGAAGGCGCTTGAACCACCTCCGGTGGCAGGCTGTTCCAGACCTTGGGGGCTCGGACAGTTATTTTTACCTGCTGCTGTTTGCAGTGGTGGACCAGACTGAGGTTCTAGGGGAGGAGGAGGCCTCACTGGGGCACACTGCCATGTTGTGCAGAGACCCCAGTGCCAGGAAAGGCACATCTGAACACACACACAGTGTCACCCTCCCACAACAGGCACAGCTGGCAGGCTTTGTGGCTGCAGCAGGGCCTAGCAGCGAGGCCTGCAGTAGTTTTCACCCACCCTGTGCCCCAAGACAGACACAGTTGCACTAGCACCTATGTCACGAGTTTGCCTGTTAGCAGCCAGAGGTGTAGGGCCCCAGAAACCAGACACCACCCTACACCTATCTCCCTGACAGCTGGCAGGCTTCATGGCCA